CGGTCCCTAAAAGTCTTAAAAAGTCCGGTCCAGAACCGGTCCAAAACCGGTCCCCTGCGGACGACTTAACATCCCTATATAAAAGTACTGATTCCTCAACTTTTGAGTAAATTTCGTATTATTTAACGTAACTCATGGAGTATAAGTTTATTTGCGGTCGTCACCAATGCAAAGAAAAGGAACCACATGCGTTAGAGTGTTGTCAACTCAAGAAGAAGAATGTAAGTTTTCATTGCACTGTTTTTATTTAATATTGCCTAAGTATTTTCTGCCGTCAAATGTGGGGAAGCTTGTGTATGTCTAAGTTGAACTTTGTTACAGGATTCTAAGGAACAGAACAAGAAGCTAGCGGATGCTATATATACTATAGATGTTCTCTGGGTATGAGACACTAGTTAAAGATAAAAATTCATTCACATTCACATTTTATATCTTATCATAGCCATACATACAAAATGCAAAAATTGACGACGTATCAATCGAGAAATTTGCTAATTGGGTGGCAGAATACGCCACAACCCATGGCCTAAACAAGCAATACATAACTAATGGAAATTTACTACGTTGGTATAAAATTATACTTTGGAAATGGCAAAAAGAAGAGACGGTGAAGTATATCCGAGATAAAATTAATAAAGCAAACAAAATTACAAACTCAAAAAATGTCGCTAAGGATGCTTTGGTAAACAGCTTGTTCATTTATTACTTTATTCTTTTCATTGCCTATGATTATATTCTTAATGAAAATGCTGGGCCAGTGTCCACAAATGGACTCGAGGTTTACCCTTCATATTATTTGCTAGTAGACGTGCCTTTGATTCGCACTTTCCACCCATATTTTTTCATATGCCTTCTATTCATCATTTTATCTCGTCTATTTCGGCGCTTTGCAAAAACCTTGGGCTTTAGGTTAACTCGGTGGTATAATATGTTTGGGCCAGTTTCGCATTGTTGCGCCACCAATGTGTTTCGAGGTTTACCCTTCATATCTATATTACTGGGCCATTTCTCTTTGGTTGATGCACTTTTTTCTTTATTATTCTTTATCTGAATTATCTTCTTTTTTATGGTGTCGAATATGAGGCCAAGTTATCTATAGTTTCAAATAATTCAAATTCTTTTGAGCAATCACATTTTCACTTCATCTATCTCAGGAAAATTTATCACATTGCTCTGAGTCTTCCTCTATAATCGTATCCGGTGACTCAAGCCTTCAAGATCATCAAGAAGCATCCGAAATTTTTAACTTTGCCGGCTTTAAGGATACAAAGATTGATAACAATCCTATTATCGATCTTATACTTCAGCATAACCTAAATTGTGTTGCACATAACGATCCAATACGATCTGGTCATCCTTTCCACACCCATTATTATATAACAAAAATCCCGATAAGTTTGATGCAATCATAAACCGGAATGATCGTCAGTTTGAAAAACTAGCCCATCCATTATCAAGGAAGATGGCAGAATGGTTTTTCGAGATTTATAAACGATCAAATTTTACTTCTCACCATTTCGAAAGGCCAGAGTTTCTGACATCTAAGGAGGGGCATTTGGCGGTGCAAATTGCGTCTACCATGTATTTATTTGTTCATGTTCTCATAACCTTATTTCAATTAGCTATTATAAAATAATTATCCTATTTGTTTCATAGACAATTATCCGTGAATCATTATCAAAAAACGGGTATGAATTCTCAATCAGTAAATTCTGAAGCTACCTGGGTAAATTTCGTGGAAACCCTGCTAAAAGGTATTATTAATCGCATTAAAAATCTGGTATATGAAAAGTAAGTGATTATATGTTCGATCATTTTGTGCAAATGTCCTCCTATCACTCCCCAAATATTACACCATTTAAGCACTTTAAGTACAACCGTGGATTATCTTGACTATCAAAAGGAGAATGGAGAAATCTGCAAAATTAAGCCAGATGGGACTATATATTTTGTTATCCCCGAAATGCATTTTCCAATTGGATTCCTTGAAGGTCAGAAGCCGTACCTGCCAAACGCAACAAAAAAATCACAGACCGATGCAGAAAAGCTACAAAGGGAGATTAAATTGGCGCACGATTCTCTTTTGAGAGACATACAAAGCAAATATTCAGCTCGGATTTCGAAAGAAGTCGCTAAAAAAATATTTGAAATTCCATTCATCACATCTCAAATAACTGGTGAATATTTTGAAAGTCTACATTTATTATTGAACAATTTATCAACTGAATGTTTCTTTGTAGGTTCTGAAGCAATAATCTCAGTCTCAGATCGAACGCTTCATCCAATATTGACAACGTGGGTATTATGCCGGTTCCGTATTGATTTTCACAAGTTAGAAAGGATAAACGATATTCAGAAAATTTTTTCGGGAATATTCGTATTGCAGGAATTGTTTGAAAAAATAGATACGAGTTGGAATGAATTTTTGGCTGATGCTCCTCAGCTACTACCAAAAAAACGCTACAATTTGTCAACAGGAATCATCCCATTTTATCATTATGCTCTGGGAGAATATGACTCTCTTGAGTATGATTACCAATTATCACAAAACAGATAATGTTAAAATATCTTGTATTTCATTACCGAAATAAAGTTCTAGAATTCTTGGACTAGTACTTAGCGATATACTTTTTATGTTGGTATATGCTGATATGTGACTGACTTTCAAGGAGGTTAAGTATGTATTTCATTTTAGCAATATAATTAAAGCATAAATGAATTGAAGAGGGATATACGATTTTATCAAGGTGCAATTGAGAGAAAAAAAAAGCCCAGAAATATCAAATTTTTACCGGGTCGGGATAGGTTAATCGGTAAAGAGTATTACATCGTAGTATACTAAAAAGCGGTTTAAGTATTACAAGGCTCGATAATCTTATAAAAGAAAAAGCCATAATCGATTAATAAAATTTTTGGTCGGGTCTAGTCAAAAAATAAATCACATTTTGCCAATGATTATGGTGTTTCTAATAAAAATAAAAAGGAATGTTTATTCTAAAATTTTTGTATCATATAATTAATATTTCTATTTAAATTTCAATTATTTTTTACCAATTTACATAATCACGTTAAAATAAAAAGTTGGAGTCCAGCGGACTCCCTTCTTTATTTCATAAAAAAATATTGTCGGGATGAAAACCTTACAAATAAAAAAATTTTTACAATTTTACTACGTATATTAAAAGGTTATAAACCACCGTTAAGCCACTGTTGAAGTGCTGTTGGCTTTTTCATAATAAATATATGTAAAATCTCTAAGCCACAGTTAAAGTGCTGTTCAAAATAAGCGAAATTTAAATTATTTTGACGCATGTGTTAAAATAAAGCCACACATGTATGTTATTTATGATATTTCTTTGTTCGTATCCACAGCCCTTATTCTAAATTTGTATACTGTATACTAACAAAATGTTTGTTGACGCATGTTGATTGAACATCTTATACCGATACGCATATGCTTTATTTAAAATTCGGTACAAGAAGAGTATGGATATTTATAGCTTATCAGGTAATCTACCCCTTAACGTTAAAAACAAATATGAGGCTAACAATTATGCAAACACGTACAATATCGATATGGGGTTAATTATTATGTATAAGGCGGTATCCTCTTATATAAATCTTTTTTTGTAAAATTTTTGATTTTTTTTTACCAATAATACACTTTCTTCTCCCTTTCACACTAGGTTGTTTTTGTGTTGATAAGACGACTTCTATAGCTACTTGACACGAGTTTGCTTCGGTGAGTTGTGTGATTGAACATGCGCATAATCTTCTTGTTTTAACAGAGCAGATGGCTCAGTGCTTTGGCGATAGTAGTTTGTTTGTTCCGCAAAAAATATGCAATCTAGCTGTCTTCTAATAATATAGTCTTCTTCAGTCAAGCAAAAAATTTTGTTTCTAAAGCAATAGGGCCTCTGACTATGTATCTTTTATATTAGAGAAATAATATGGTGCAGGGACTCACATTAAATAGTTTAGGATCCATGTACTCCCTCCCTTGAAAGCATGTCATATATTTCATTTATTTTTCTATATATTATTAAAAACACTATCACAGAGGATGCGATTGTCAGACTATTATTTTCTACGTAGCAAAGAAAAGAAGACCCGATGAGCTTTCTGCGGTTTAGTCCACTGAGTTACGAAATAAAAAATAGTTTGAAAGTATCCATCTTATTTTTCGTTATACTTTTCTAATAATTATACAAAAAATACTGCTTTGAGGGCATGATTGTCAGATTATAATTGTTTACGTAGTGAGGAGAGGAAGACCCGATGAGCTTCCTGCGGTTTAGTCCACTGAGCTACAAGATAAGAATAGTTTGAAAGTATCCATCTCGCTTTTTATTTATTATACTTCTTCCTGAGATAGTCATGCAAAAAATTTCATCTAACTTTAGACGATAGGGCCTTTGACTTCATATATCTAATCGATATTCATTTATTACAATACCTCTCGCAAAAAT